ATTCATTCTATCTCCATTGGTTTTAACAGCTATTGCTTACTGGATGATAGGTATCATGGCAGAGGGTAGGGTGGCATTTCTGGGTTCTTCCATAAAGGCATTGCCATATTTTGACAGGTAAAGTCCATTAAGTCCCAGTTACATTTGTCTTGAAAAACTGTAGCCATATCATGTAGACATTTTGGTAGTCATAAAATTATAACGAGTTATTTTGATTTTTTTTCCAGTCTTGGTTATTCGTGTCCACCCAACTTCAATCCAGCTGACTATTTTGTACAGCTTCTTGCAATTGTTCCAGGTCAGGAAGATGATTGTCATGAGCGTGCAAAGGTTAGTTCATAAAATACATTGTCTATTTTYAACATGATGCACAGAAGACCATGTGTACTAATTCCAGCCAGCCTGAAATTCCCTGTGCTGATATGTGCAATACATAATATATCTCAATAAGATATAACATTACATTGCATTACTTGCTTAATAATTTCATTGGTTTCATTCAGAAAATTTGTGATGCTTTTGAAGAACAAACTGCGAAGGAAGATCATGATGAAAGCACAAGGAAGGTGTGATTGAGTTGATTTGTACAGCCCACCTTCATGTACAAGATTACTTCCTACTAATGTTGGAATATTTTTACTTTTATCCTTTTAGAATTCATTTAGTGAAAATGAAGTTATTACTCATCAACCGTAAGTTAGCTGTCATGAAAATTGCAGCAAAACTTTAGTCAAAAGCTTGCAAACAGGCTCACATAAGCTTACTACTTAGATACACAAGCCACAGGTTTCTCTTACATCTAACAACACTTTCAACCTTAATTAGGATGAGGCAGACTGAGGTGCCAATCTTATTTGAAATATTTCTGCCGACTTATTTTTTATAAGATTATTCCTTATTTTTATAAGATTAAAATTCAATACCATTATGTTGAGTATGAAATGTTCATTTTGAATTAGTTGCCAATATTTTTGTGTCTGGCTGTTGTGAAGAACCATTTTTTGGCATCCATTGCCTTGGTTTCTATTTTTATGTGGCTGTGGACTATAAAACATGTTTAAAATATAAGGTGTTCATGATATTTGATCATTAGGGATGGACTATTAAATACATTCAGGGAAGAAAAAAAAGATGATATAACAGGTTATTGACTAGAAAATAATTAAATGTACTGAATGACATTCTTGTTTCAGCTATAAGGCTTCTTGGTGCACACAATTCCGAGCTGTCCTATGGAGAAGCTGGATAAGTACTCAAAGAGACAAGCTTATGTTTAGAATTAGAGTCATCCAAAGTGTGGTAAGAATTAGGTGTTGTTAATGTGCTGGTTTTCAGGTCACATCACAGCAGCCATCTTGGAGGTATTCAACAAACTAACTAAGGATTTTTTTAGTCATTAGTATCTATTGTCTATTCCTCCAACATGGCTGACATTTTTTTGTTGGTTGAATCTCATGGGAATGATTGAAAACCAGCAATCTAATGTATGAATGAATTTTTCTTTGTTCAAAGAATGGGTGCCTTTTATATTTCAGTATATATTTTAAATACAATCATGTAGTCATATAACAGTATTTAGTATCTGAAAAGTAAAGATTGATTTATTATTGATTATATGAAAACCCATTTCTGTGCTATAGTAAGTTCATTGCTGTACTTATTTCCACAGGTAACTGCCTTGATAGCTGGACTTATTTACCTACAAACACCAATAGACACCAGTGGAGTGCAAAACCTTTCTGGTGCCATTTTCTTTCTAGTGACATCAGTGTCCTTTTCATCTCTACAAGGAGTGATTTTTGTAAGTTAAAATATAAACTTTATCTTGACAACCAGTAACTACTGGACTACAGTCACTGACACTGCATGACTACACTTACTGGACTACATAATTATGTATGATTATTCGTTTTTAAGGGTCTTTTTAGCCTCCAGGTATTGATTATAGGAGACAGTAGTTAGTCCTCATTGAATGCAAAGTCTCATTAAGTTTCTAAGTCAAATTCTTTGTCTTCATAGTTGTTTTGCWCTGTGTAACATGCGACTTTTGCATATACAGCTATTTCAAAAAATGTTGTCAAGGAGGTTGCACGACCAAAAGGGACTATGGTTGYACTGTTTTGATAAACGAAATTTCACTTATTGGATTCACCTTACATAGTAATGGAGACTAAATGGAGCCAATTTTTACCATGGACAATCTTACAGTACAAATCAGTTGTTATTGCCCTTCAACTAGCAAAAACCTGGCTGCTTTCGGTCGTGCAATTGCCGTTCGACCATTGACATTCGCCATTTTATCCGACAACCTTTTTTGAAACAGCTATGAAGCTATATATCGTTTTGAATGATAGAATGTAAAAGACAAAGCTAAGCTTTCAAAGAGAGGGCCAATGGACTGATAGTTAGCTAACTTCTTTTTTAAAGAGAAATTTATCTTTCCCTTTCTTGACTAAGAACCCCTGATTACCAATTTTGGCATTGTATACTTACAGAAGATACAAAGGTGCAATTTTGAATTTAATATTAATGCTTGTTTAGGTAGGAGATAAGCATTAAAGTAATGATATATTATATTCTATTAAGATATTATTGATTAATCTTAACACCACAGGTGTTTCCTGCTGAATTACCAGTTTTCCTCAGAGACCACAAAAATGGCATGTATCGGACAGATGTGTACTTCCTAAGCAAAACATTTGCTGAGGTATATATGATATATATAATTATATACACACAAGTAGAACTGAATGTCAAGAACTGAAATAATAATACAATTGGTATGTTTTTCATTTTTCTTTCATTTACTTTCCTTCTWTTTTCCCTTTTGTTCATAGGTCCCAATATTCATTCTATCTCCAYTGGTTTTAACAGCTATTGCTTACTGGATGATAGGTATACCAACATAGCTAATCGTTTGCTTTGTTAGTTTATGTGATATCTAATGATGATACTCTTTCAATAGGCCTCCGTCCAGAATTTCTTCCATTTGTTTATGCATTTTGTATTTTGACACTGTTAACCAATGTTGCATTATCGTATGGTAAGTAGCATGGCAACCGTGATGATAATGGGAATGTTTTTGACAATAGAGTAAAGTCAAAAAACCCGTGAAATAGATATTATACACAAATACACCTTTTCAGTACACTCTAATTGCTTTCTTTTTTAATTGTTTTCTTTTTGTGTATTTGACTATCACACTTTTATTTCAGGGGTTGAATGACTTTACTCTAATGATTACAAGAGCTATATGATAATCATAATGACAATGACGAACTTTTGAGTTTTTGTTAGCCTGTTATTTTACCCAGTGTCCATAATATTATGGTCCTGAATCGTCTAATTCGCCCAGGAACGCGTTTTTGCAATATTCTTAAGGCCCGTTTACATTTGCGATTTTTGAAGCGCGATAATCGCCTGACTTTCGAATATGCTTGAAATCTAGCTGCAACTCGCGGCGATTTTTGATCGTCGCGACAGTCGAAGGGCTGTTTACACGTACGATTTGAGGTGCGCGASAACAAAGTGGTGATTGTCGCGCGACAATCGCGCTCGCTGCAAAACTCGCAAGTKTAAACGGGCTTGCTAACAATAATATTGAATGTCGCTTAATAATCTTATTTTTTGGACATTGTCAGGTTACATTATCTCTGGTTTGGCACCAACTGTTGAAGGTGCGTCATCCCTAGGCGCTCCATTGATGCTGCCATTGATGCTTTTTGGTGGATTTTTCTTAAAGGATTCGTAAGTTTATTCCTTTCTTGCAGTATAAAAAATCATGTTTTTTTCTTWTGTCAATCAACGTGGAATGTGTTTACCCTCAGTCGTGATTTATAACCTATTTTCTCTAATGTTAACAGTACTGTTCCTGATTACTTTCTGTGGATTAAGTACATCTCGTGGTTTAGATATGGTTTTGAACTGATGATAGTCAACCAGTGGGATGGCTATGGAACTATCAGTGAGTATATAGTCAAATTCATGAATAGTCTCCTAATAATAAATGACTAATATGTACCGTGAGGAGAGAAGTTGAACGTATAAGGGGACCAACTTAAAAGATATGAATATGAGGACCGCATGGCACGATGATAGAAACGATCTATAGAAATGAAAAAAGTTATAGTGCTTAGAAAGAGGCAATTCCGGGAGAAAGACACTTAGGAATAAATTCGGAAAAATTAATTTCCGAACTCGCTGGGATAAAAAGAGTCTTGTTGAGTGTGCTTGGTTTTGACCGTCTTTATTAAGTATTTTCAATTTTTTTATTATTTTAAGGTAACTGTACAGCAGGTGCAGAGGCATTATGCATACCTGATGGTCAAGCTGCCATTGAATTTCTTGGTTTGGATAAGGTAAGCATTWCATGTAGTTCTGATCTCTTGTATAAAAATAAATCTAGTGTCAAATATTGAAAATAATGTCAGTAGTAATTGGTCATGTGAACATTATTTTGTTTAATCAAATATCTGCTGTATTTTTGATACGTTTTAAGCTTATTTTTGTATGTCTTGTTTCAATTTATAGGACAACTTCATGATTGATATTTATGCCCTTCTTGCTCTATTTGTTGGCTTTCGCATCATAGCTTTCCTGCTCCTGCTTCGTCGATCAAGTAAAACCCAGTGATACGTGTGAAGACGCTTGCAATATTGGATAAATSTTTCCTTACGTTTTAACCAAAGAACTTGCAGTCATGTTGGACTTGTAATGTTTTCACAAACAATTTCATGACATACCCAGATTGTATAACAAAAACAAACAAACAGCAATCATTCTTTTTAGCAGAAAAATGCATTCATCCCAAGCTATAAATTGTCAGTTAATGATTGAAATTTTGATTTGTAAATGATCACTATAAAAATATATTGTATTATTTCGCGAATGTTTTTAAAAAAACATATTTTATAGCTATAGGAATTTGACATAATTATCAATAAAATTATTCTGAMTTGTCAAGACTATCTAGATCTGCAAAAGAATATGCACAGAGTTCGAAATTTGGAATTGTTTTTTGGAAAAGTCGTTACCCGCCACCCCGTACCCCGCCACCGATTCTTAAAAGACACCGAAATTTAACAAAATCTTCAGTTTTTAGAAAGGGAACTTAGAGTGATCGCACTTAAACCGTGCAACTGTACAAAACATAATTAGTACTAATTTGTACTAAAAGTGGACCTGAAGCAAGACGGTATTGAATGCTTCATTTGTATCAATTCAATTTATATTGCGTACTGCATGAACTATTTACTAAATACAGCTAAAAAGAACTATTTACTTTGCACAGTTGCTCGGTTTAAGTGCGATCACTCTACCCAACCCGTAATAAACAAAATAGTACAAAATRGATGCTAAATAATTATAAACGTGAATTACCTTTGTTCTCTTTTGACTAAACAATTACACTATTTGATAGAGCGAAGTCAAAAAATCCGTGAAATCCTTACTTTTACAACCTAGTACTCTTTAATTGAGTTTTCTTTTTTGTCTGTCTGTCTCACTAAAATAAGCAAATTTTGTTTCACGGGTTTAATGACCTCTAATGACTTCGATAGTATTTGTTTCACGGATTTAGTGTAATTTACATTTGAACGCAGCTGATACTTCGGCACCGACACTTTTCCCGCCATCACGTGAAATTAGCGCGTAGGGAAGACTTCCTCTGATCGAATCGTCGAATAGAAAATGAAATGTGAAAGAGGTGTTAAAAGAGGTAGAATAACATACGAAAACCTTCATTGTCCTATCCTTGGAATTTCTTAAATCAGCTTCCCGTTTTACTTKTGAACCGGCAGTCTTGAGAGTGCACGGTATGGCATAAAACAACAGTACCGAGTACCGTCTGTTGAGAGAGCACAGCGATGGGATACCTGCACAAGCCTAGCACCTATTTTTTTTCCAATACTCAATAATATCAGAAAATCTTTCGCTCTAGTGGTAGTCGTTGTCATAACTACCATCACAGTCCAGTAGCATGTCCACGCCATGCGAACATAAACAAAAAAAATCTAAATTTTCTATATTCATGCATGGAATCATGCTGACGAAAGGCTTTGTAAGTAGTTTTGCAAATTTAAACAGCAAAACTTCATAGACATCAAATGATACCTCATCGTTAACTACTGGAAGCGATTTCTTGGGGAGCACAGMCAGCATCTTTCACAATGTCTGGRCAGAATTCGGAAGAGCCCGCGACAACTGAATTGAAAGAGTTGAGCACAGACCACTGGGCTTCACATAACAATAATGTCACTTCCTATGGTATAAATGATGAAAACGTTGTTGTTAATGCTGTTGAAGGTACTAAAATATAATTAATTACTAAATAAGTGTTTCACATTTTACAGCGCAAAGCTCATGCAATAGTCTGACCACCGATAATATATTTGCATTCTTTTCCGAAAATTTGATTATTCACTTTTCAAGACTAAAATATCAAAAGCACTTACATTGAGTTAAAAGATAAGAATTTCTATTAATCGATTGGAATTTGAGTTTGAAAAATAGCTAAAATGAAGTATATTCACTACTTGAAATTAGAGAGTCGAGATGTAGCAAGAGAAGAGAATGCGAATAAATTATCTGTTCGCCCCATGTAAGAGAATCCAGAGAACTAGTGGATTCCGGATTCCAAGCGCTGGAYTCCGGATTYCGAAACATTGGATTCCGGATTTCAAGCCTTGGGATTCCGGATTCCAAAGAATTTTTGTTTTGGATTCTGTATAATAAATGGCCTGATTTTCAGGGGGGTTTTTCCTGAAAATTTTATATTCAGCGTGTCAGTAKCCTGCGCAGGGGCGTCAGCGGGACCGATGTCCTATGTGTTTTTTAGATATCAAAATTTTTGCTGGATTCCAGATTTTTGGATTCCGGATTCCAGGATAGGGATTCCGGATTCCAAAGCTGTCTTTTTAGTGGATTCCGGATTCCGGATTCTCTTACACGGGGCGAATCTGTATTGGTCACACTTTTTTACTTTGAGCTGTAATTTTTTTTTTTCGGCGCTGTAATGTAAACCTCTGCGCCTTTCTATAGCTAGTTTGGAGGAGGAATTACATCTAAAGAAACCAAGCTTAGCTATCGTCCCGCGTATCGGTTCCGTGACGTGTGCGTTTTGCTTGCAACTTGGGTCATAGTCTTCATTGAGTTAATTATAGTATTCGGCACTTGGACAAACGGATCAGTCTGTTTTGTTAATTGTTTCATAATCACTCAGTGATTTAAGTTAAGATTGTAGCTGAATGAGACGCATTACATGTAATCGTTTCAAAAGTTATAAGTTTAGTCGCATGTGCATGGCTATCGCCTGACTATTAAAAACGCGTTATCTCATTTAAAAGTTTAATAGAATCGAAACGATTTAAATTTTATCCGAATTTTTAAATGTACGAATTTTCTGCAATGTACGTACAGAATGATTTTTAACCATCTTAGATACATCCTGTGTGATAATTAACTTTTGGGTAAAAAGTTTGACAATAATCGTAATATTAATAAATTGATATTTGAGTTGTAATAACACATTCCACTATGCATGTTTGGCATTTTTCTCCTGAACAGTCCAATATCTTTTCGTTCAATTCCCGCATCTGATAGACTTTTTGTGTATCAGTTGATTAAAGTTTATTTGGAAGTATGTCAATTTGTACAGAGCAATAAGTATTCATCAATACTTCTTGCTGTTCGATGCAAGGTGCAGCTAGTGTTGTGAATTATATTGCTGGAGTTGGTGATCCGTGATGCACTAAATCTGTGATCCTATGAAACAGCATGAAAGATATTTTCCAATGAAAAAGACATATCAAACTTGGAGACTGTTTATCGAAAATATTAGTGCGGGCTTTAATTTGTTATATATTTAATCCAAAATAAATTTCGTTTACGAAATGTTTTATGAATTAATGCTTTATTATTTTAAAATGTTTTATTATTTTGATTAAAAAATAAATAAAAATGTGAAAAGTACCTTTATTTTTTTTCTTTCTCTGCCGATTTCAAAACCCTCCACAGCTTTACGTTTCTTTGCTTTGGCATCGTTTTATTGCAATCAGTCTCAGTCAACGTTCCCAGCGCCATCTTGAAAGGTATGTGCCTTGAGGGTGAACAGCTACAGACAGTTATTCAGGGGGTATCTCGCAACGCGGATACAAGGCACGACCACAATGACACAGGGAACTGTGAAGAGACTTGTTCGCGAACGTATTTGAAACCCCGTCCAGTTCTCATTGTCGACAATATCATCCTCTAGAATACGCCTCGAAAACATCTCATCGTAATCAATAGGGCAATATGTTAGAGAATACTACAGATCAGAACTTTTCCCTTGGTTAGTGTTTTTTGTTTGTTTGTTTTTGTTTTCATTGAAAGTGCAAACATTGAAGCTGTTGCGTTGCTTTCTGCTCAGCAACTTTGAAAATTTACGACGTGACAAATACGAGTTAGCGCAAATGGGGAAGTTATTAATGTACGCATGTGTTTTGAAACCGACGCGCGCTCTCTAAAAGCTATGTTATAAATTAATTATAATTATTTGTACTGTTTTAAATTAAAAAGAAAGTAAAATGACAGCTCGTTCACAGGTTCTTTGAGAAAGGTCAGCTCTCTCAATGAAATTGAAGTCGACCGGTTTTTAACTCGGAGATGACACGGCTAAAAAACCGCTGATTGGCTAATATTTACATTCCACTGAGTGTGCGCAGAACGACTTCCGCTGATTTTATCGCGGGCGCTGCCATTCTTTATTGACAAAAATGGCGGCGAAGGATTTGGATTTTCGATGGGATTGAAGTTAAAATGAGACTCAACGACAGTGTTTTAAGCGACAAATGTCCCTAAATATTGCCAGAGTCAAAGGAAGCTACATTGTGCAGCTCTTAAATCTACGAAATGATATTTCACGGCAGGTTATTACGGAAATTTGTCAATCAAATGTTAGAAAAAGTCACTTACGTATCGACTAAATGTGTTCGCGATTTTAGTATCTTGCATTTCCCTTAAAATTWCGACATCAAAACATCTGTGATGTGCACTGATTATTCTACAATTGAMACGAGTAAAGCGTCGGATGGTGATTTTGGTACAGCGTTTTGCCTTGCCAAAGAAAACTATTAAAGACTACTGAAAGATTTCTTTCGACTTCTYGATTGTTATTCTGTGCTTTCTGCTACAACTGACACCATTACAACTAGAAAGAAAGAAGTTCAACGAAAAAAGTTCGGTATGTTTTTTTCTGAAAACAAATAAATAGCATATTTTTGTTTTGAATGTGTGTTTGTTTGTATTTGTAATTTTATTTTGAACTGAGAGACTCRAACCATCACTGCAATAGTTAGCTTACATGGGTAAACATAATTTCCTTTTATTACAGCATAACATGTGTATTAACAGCACTGTATAGAGTAGATCCACTTAACCCTCGAAATAGATAGAAGTATTACCACGTCAATACAAAACTAATATAAATAATCTATTTCAAAGTGTTTTAGTTCCTTTTCCTTTTTTTTATCAGAAATTCTACAGTATTTAATTTTTAGAAAGCAACAGTAATGCCAAATTATTTATGGTTCTTTTGTTGCTGCTGGCTTAACATACCATTAGACAGTGCAGATTTAATAGCAGAACTTGTCTCCATTTTATTCTTTAGGAACAGATTTTTACGAAGTTAAGCAATGTGTTTGGATGACAACTAAGTAGCCCATAATCATGCCGACATCAGCAGAGAATCATAGAGCTCTAGCTCCAGAAAGTTTCAGATGCAAACCTCTGTTTCTGTAGGCTTTTTGTTTTCTAAAAWCATGTGTAAGTTACATCAGAACCACAACCTAGTAAACTTCGAAAAGTTTTGTTTTCATTAATGTTTTACCATCTACTAATCTGCATGTCTTCCCATCCCTGCATCCATTCATATCTGTGTGTGCGTTTTAGGTTACCTAATTTTGAAAGAAGCCCATCGTGTGTAACACAACACTATTTCATGTCTTCTAAATTGCTCTTTTGTTAGTGGCTGTTTTTCATTGTTACTTGTTGTAAAAATTATTAGTATCGCAAATAGGCCTGATGCATGTCTTTACAGAAGCTCCTCATTTCAGCAGGACAGGACTGAATAGATTTTTCTTATTTTCAAGTGACAAAGCCTTTTGGAACCTTTTTAACAAGTACTCCAAATTCAATGCAGTAACAGHATTTTCTGTAATAAAAAATACCTATAGATTCAACATCTTTGMAGGCTAAAACACACTGATTGACTATAGTAAAATAAGGTTGACACAGTGTACATTTAGTAACAATAAAAACAGTTTATGATAAGTAGAAAGTTGTATAACATGAATTCTGGCTACTTATATTTTTAATTTTTTTCTTTGAATAGAGGGTTTTCCTCTCAACTCTTCTGCTTCTATTTTCAACTGAAAGACAGTTTTTCTTTTTCACTTTTCAGAGTTTTTTTTAGTGATTCATTTTCTTGTGTTAATTTTTGAGCTTTTGCTATAGATTCGTCTGCAGACGTCTGATCATCTGTACTTCTTTAATTATTGGATTAAAAACTCAAAAATATTGCTCTGTAACAATAGTATGAGCAAAAGGTTCATACAAGGGATGAGTTTTTATATTTCTGTGCAGTCTGAAGCTTCATTTAAGTGCTTAGTGCAAATGTAGGCTTGTCTTCTACTTAAAGTGATTCCAAGACATTCAAGTTGTGAGGTTTTTGAACATATTTCACTTTTAAAT